TTGTACCCTAATAGCCTCCGTCTTATCTAGCGTGAATCATCGGAGTTTTTGCTTGATCGGTTTGGCGGTCGGCGAGACATTCAAGGAGTGCTCGATCTTCTCCCGTGGTACCCCCGGCATGTCTATAGGTTTCCAAGCAAACACATCGGCGTTGGAACATAGGAAGGAGATGAGCGCGCTTTCATATTTGGGGTCGAGGTGAGCCCCAATCTTAATGGTCTTGGAGGGGTCGTCGAGGCCGAAGCCGACCTTCTTTGTTTCCTTGGACTTGGCGGAGGCGCGAGGAGGCTCTAGCGCTGGGATCTCCATGTCATCGTCGGGCACCATCTTGGCATCGGTGACCACGCTAGCCATCTAAATGGAGAGGTCGGTGGCTTCGGCGAGGGCGAGACTCTCTGTCTCGCAGGTGTAGGCGATGGAGAGGTTGGTCCGTAGGGCCAGAACTCCTACAGGCGAAGGCATCTTCAGCACCAGATAGGTGTAGTGCGGTATGGCCATGAACTTGGCTAGAGTTGGCTGACCAAGTATGGCGTGGTAGGCGGTGTTGAAGTCAGCAACGTAGAAGTTGATGTGCTCGACTCGGTAGTTGCTGGCCGTGCCGAACTATACTAGGAGGGTGATCTCTCCAAGCGGTTTGGATGCTCTGCCAGGTACCACACCCCAGAAGGAGGAGTTGGAGGGCGTGAGGTCTCCTATCCTAAGGCCTAGCTCCTTTAGGGCTCCAGCGAAGAGGAGGTTTAGAGCGCTCCCGCCGTCGACGAGCACTTTTCTGAAGAGCACTTTCTGGATGGTTGCATCAAGGACGAGGGGGAAACACCCTATGTAAGGGATGTCCACCCATTGGTTGGCCCTGTTGAAGGTGATGGGGACCTCGGACCAGGGGCGATAGCTGGGGTTGGTGACGGCGTCTTCCGTGTTGACGGTGAGCACCCGGCGGGCGGTGAGCTTCTGATCTCTTATACTCTCGACGGTGGCGAGGCCCCCGAAGATGGTGGTGACCACTTTGTCATGATCTTGGAAAGCGTTGTTGTTGCCCCCAGGTGGTCGGCAGCCTCCGGCTCCATCGTTGTTGTCGTCGTTCGGCTTTTTAGCCTAGAATTCCTTAGCCAAGCCGAGGCAGTCCTTCATCTTATGCTTGATGTTCTTATGGAGAGGGCATGTGTCTTCGAGGATCTTCTTGTATTGCTCGTCGTAGTTGCGCTTGGCGCGAGGTTCATCAACGGCGGCAATGATGTGGTCTGGTTGGCGGCGGCGGTATTGACCAGATTTGGACCCTTCTGACCGATCACGGCCACTGTCCCGATGGTGACTGCGGTCGTCATAGTGACGGTCATTGTGGCATCGGTCGTCGGGTCACTCGTCGCTATGGCAAGTTGGGCGTTGAGTGCCCGCATCCTTGTTGAAGCGTACTTCGGCTTCTTCGGCGTCGATGTACTGATCGGCGGTTGTAATCATCTCGCCAATCCCTTTAGGCGGCTTGCGATTGAACTTGGAGCAGAGGTCGCGGTGATGGAGTCCTCGGACGAAGGCGGTGATGACCTCAACTTTCATGATGTTAGGAATATAATTTCTCATCTCAGAAAAGCGTCTGATGTAGCTACAGAGGAGCTCGGACGGCTTCTGGTAGATGCGGTTCAGATTATGCTTGGTGCCCGGCCGAGTACACGTAGCTATGTAGTTATCGGTGAAGACCTTCTTTAGCTCTTCCTAGGATCCAATGGAGTCCGGGGCGAGGCTTGTGAACCAGTTCATCACAGTTGGCGTGAGCATGACGGAAAGATAGTTCGCCATGGCACTGGTATCTCCCCCGGCGGCACACACAGCAGTGGCATAAGCCTATAGCCACTATATGGGGTTCATCTGTCCCTCGTAGGGCTTGACCCCGATGATTTTGAAACCACGAGGCCACTGGAGTGTTCGGAGTGCCTTGTGAATGCTCGGGGCCCCTTGGGATCGTCACCGTCTGCAGCGTTGTCGGCGCTGAGCGGCTGGAGGACTGCGTCCGGGTCCCCAAACTCTTGCTCGTACTCTTGATGGTGGCGTACTTCTTCTTCATGGCGAGAGAAATGGCGCCCGTCGATATGACGTCGCGCATCTTGGAGATTGTTGATGTGCTCTCAGGCATCTTGTTCGACCTCTTGGTTGTGTTGGTGAGGGTAGTCGATGTGGTTGCCCCTAGCTCCCCCCTGGAGAGGTTGTCCATCATCATGATGCTGGTCGGTGAAGTAGCTCCTGCTGGGGCGGCGATTAGATCTGGGGGCGGCGGATCGGTGAATTGAGCTCGTCGAGTATGAAGGTCTATGATCCTGGTGGATCTCATTGACCTGGCCGTGTGTCGCTTTAAGCATGGCGGCAACCTTGGCGACCTCTGGTGTCTACGGGAGCCAGGCGAGCTCATTGGCGACCACAGCCAAGTTGGTGCTTGGGGTCTTGTAGACATTGTGGCCGTCGACACGGACAAATTCATCGTCGAGGTTGTGTTGGAGTTGGCGTGACCTTCCTTGCGAGTCCAGATGGTCGTTGTGAGCAGCCTCGGCTAGCGTAAGGGTAGCCTCATTTGCTCGGCGCTGCGCACGGTTGACGTTCCTATTTGTGCGAGCGGTGCATTCCTCCTCAGTTTCTCCATCTCATGGGGGGTTGTCGACGCTAACATTGAAAATCCCGCTTCCATGGAAGGACGGGAAAGGAGGTTGTACGGTGGTGGTTTCGGCGACGGTCTTCGTAGAGCCCTGGGACTCGGAGTCTAGACTTTCCTCCAGGATGGTTTGGAGGGACACTTCGAGGCGTCGGCCGACGTGTAGCATGTTGACAGTCGGCGAGAGCTGGTCGGCGATCTGGTCGGTGAGAGGATAGATATGTCCCACCTGGTCGGTAAATTTGCCCCTTAGGGCATCTTGATAGGCGGTGGCGGCGCTGGCGAGTCCGAAGGGTAGGGCCGTAACCCCTGGAGTTTCCTAATCGGCCTCCGATAGATCTGGATCAGAGGGTGATCGACGTTAAACCAGAGTGGTCAGAGCCAATTCTGCGATGGAGAGGCAATCGGCGAGCTTCTGACCAACCTGATCGATAGATGCGATCAGATCGTCGTTGTTGATCTGCCTCCTCGGGTAGCAAGGGAGCGGGCGACGAATTGTCGGCGAAGACAACCTCAGAAGTGATTCTGAGATCGGATCTGCAGTCGCAGACGTTGGGGTGATCGGTGCAGTATTGATCTGCACCGGCTCGATGAGCTTTCCGACTCCGTCAGCATTGATGATTCAGGAGATCGATCTGATCGTGAAGATCTGGCCGGGCTGTGGGAGGGACGAAAAGCCTGCAAAACGTACCATCTTGTTCGACATGAAAACAGCACGCACACCCCTACCTGGCGCACCAACTGTCGGCAGAATATCGTCGGCAGTCCTCCGAGGGGTATCCCACGAAGGTAGATCGATCAGCAGAGATGCATGTAATCGAGAACAAGAAGGCAACAGAGACACACGAGTTAGACATGTTCGGGCCGTCAGCACGACGTAATACCCTACTCTTGTGGTCTGTTGGATTATATTGGCTATCGTATGATATTACGTATGTTTGGAGGGGTCCCTGCCCGTCTTATATAGTCTGAGGGGCAGGGTTATAAGCCGATTAGATATAGGAGATAACCGGAAAGTAATAACAGATTACAGGAATCATGGAATCATACGTATCCTAACAGATCTCGTATTATCTTCAGGATATCTTTCCGGTGTCTTGCGGGACGCGCCGAGCAGCGCCGTGCCCCACAAGACTTCGTCTTCTGGGCTGGGCCGCCCCTAGGGGCGCATCCCATGTGATCTGGTGTAGGTATCCGGGGTCGCACCCCCACAATGACATAGCCCATACTGCATATTAACCCATAGGAGCGAAATACTTAATCACACTTTAACTATTTTGCTCAATATAATTCATCAAAATAGTATTCTAACTATAATTTCAACTTCCGATCCATGAAAAGTTCTAGTTTAATTTTGGATTCAAATTCTAAGCTATCAAATATATTATTGAACAATTTGTACTCACCAAAACAAAAGTTACATTTTCCCCTACTAAACTTGACTCCAATTTTTATTCAAGTAATAAATATGAGTTATACTTTAAAAAATTTTATAAAAATTATTTTTCATGCTTAATCTAATAGAACAAGCTATTCGCTATTTATTTGCTAGAATCGTTATCGAAAGTTTTTAAATACTTCACGCACTGAGTGAGTTACCTTAGATTTATTTGAGTCCACAAAAATGAGTCTCATATGATTCACTTATTATTTCATGTGCGTGTTAGGTTTTCAAAACCCAAAAATTTAGTTGACTAATTTCTCTTAGGTCTTAACCTGATGCTAAACGAGTTCATAACCCCGGTGTTACAGAGCCATTCTCTCTGCTGTTTAGCTGACGAAGCAGCGAAACTACTACTAGAGTTGTCCAACGGCCCCTACGTGGAACAGGTCCAGCAGGCGTGTTATTCCCTGAGCACCTACCACACGCTTCCACAGGTCCTCCAAATCCAAATGTAACCGAGCCTACCAGACGCCTAAAGGCACCTGGGTGCACCGGGTCCATGGACTGGACACGCGTGCGTTGCGCGCTCGACCGTTCGGCTGGTCCGAGTGTATGAACCGGATCCACCTGGGAAGTGGCCGGAACCTCCCCTTCTCCTCGCATCTCCCTCCGGAGTCTCCCCCTCCCACCCATTGAAAAGCAGAGTGGCAGAGGCTGGCTCTCCCTCTCCTCCTGGACACAATCATCAGCTCCCGAAATCCAAATTGAAACAGGTGAGAAAGAACCCCACGAAATCCCCCGAACCGTTTCCTCCCCTGGGTCTGCATGGATTTATGAAACATCTTTATTGGAATATAGTTGAAGTTTCGTGTTTTGGTGCACAGTTCATCAATTACAGTGCTTTTCTCCTGAATGGCCGGTTGCAGGGGATTCTGAGCTTGGCGCTTGTCCCGCGGACCGATTTTGGTGCCGACGGAGGGGATGTCAGCCCCCCTCGATCAATTTGCTAGGCCATGTGAGTATGAAGTGCTTGTTTCCGTTGGGACACGATCAATCGGTTCCCGACGAATTAGTGCATGCTATTGGTTCATCTTGTTCGCCCTTGTTTCTTTCAAATTTATGGAGTTGAGTAAATTTCTGTTTGGGTAATAACGCTCTTATGAGGGCGTAAGATTAAATTGTTCTTGCATGGTTATAGTTTAATAGGTTTATTAGGGGCTAGGAAAAAAACCAACGCCCTTTTGTTATTGAAAGAAATCCCAATACACAAGTAGATGTTTACCAACTGCCTAAGCTTTACCTGTTCTCATCAGAGGACTTGAAGCTTATGCTTGAAGCTGGCCACACCTTCAAGGATAACCACAAAATAGAATCTCAGTTAATGCAGAAAATCGACATATAGCAATGTTGTAACATGTGCAAATTAATAAGTTCATAAATCATTCAACCAGTCCATGTCCCAACTATTATTACCACGTACTGTTTGTGTCTTAAGATCTGTTAATACCTATATTAACTTCTTTCTTCCTCACTCTAGTTTAGCATCAATCTAATAGTCAGGTTGCAGTTCGAGCTCCCTGTAAAGCACAATTTTCTGTCTATAGTCTAACCCACCTAATAGTAACTGCTGCTACGGAACAAAATAGCTTTCTTTGCTTGGATTTGGAGATGGAAAATTGAGACAGCCTGTGCAGGTTTTGAAGGGTTTGTGCATAACGATGAAAGGAAAGAGAGCAGATCTGATGCAGACAACTCAGAAGGAGATAAGAAGACTAAAATCGGATCTTTCAAGAAAAAAGCAATTAATGCGGGGAACAAATTCAGGCATTCCCTGAGAAGGAGAAGCAAAAAGAAGACTGAAAGGGGGGATTCTATCAAGGACATAAGGGACGTTAAAGAGCTTCAAGATGTTGAAACATTTCGACAATGCTTAATTGATGAGGATTTGCTGCCACAACAGCATGATGATTATCACATGATGTTAAGGTACAACACTTCTTGTTCACAGTTCCTTGTTCGCAAGGTTTTGATTTCTCTTTATGCTGCAATGCTGCATATATTCTTCCCCTTTCATACCTTACTAATAGCCACACACTAAACCTTTGCGCATGTGCTCAAGAGGCCATGATTAGAAGAAAGTGGCCGCCATCCTAGTTGACTGGGCTGGGATTCTCATTTGATCTCATTTGCATTGCAGGTTCCTAAAAGCACGGAAATTTGAAGTTGAGAAAGCTAAGAATATGTGGTCAGACATGCTTAAATGGAGGAAGGAATTCGGGGTCGACAAAATAGAGGTAAAGTTGAAGTTAAAATAGCATATCATAATATGTCATAGTTATCAATCTTGCAGATTAATCTCTATTTTGACCCTTCTTGGCCCTACACCTCAGGAATTTGACTACACCGAGTTGGATGAAGTTACGAAGTATTACCCACAATTTTATCATGGGGTAGATAAAGAGGGAAGACCTGTCTACATAGAGTTAATAGGAAAAGTTGATGCAAACAAGCTATTACAAGTGACAACTTTAGATCGGTATGTGAAATACCATGTCAAGGAGTTTGAGAGGGGTTTCCAGATGAGATTTCCAGCTTGCTCCATTGCTGCAAAAAAGCATATAGATTCGTCCACTACTATTTTGGACGTGCAAGGCGTGGTATGCTGCATTATATTATAGCCAAATATTGTTCTTTACAATATAATGCCACATTGCTAAGAGTTAATACTTTGTTCTTTACTTCTTTGTAAATTAAGGGTTTCAAGAACTTCTCAAAATCTGCCAGGGAATTAATCACACGATTACAGAAGATCGACAGTGATAACTACCCAGAGGTTGGTAACGCTGTCAAGGATCCTGAATGACAAGTTTTGTTCCAGCATTTTGAAAAAAAAAATCAAAGAATATTTCCATTAATAATTTTACTAAAATTCAAAAGAAAAAAATATACTTCCTTCTTGGCGCTATGTTGATCTTGGCCCAACTTTACAACCCCTAATGCATTTTGGATGCTCTTACAGACACTGTGCCGGATGTATATAATTAATGCTGGCCAAGGCTTCAAGATGCTATGGAGCACAATAAAATCATTCCTTGATCCAAAAACTGTTTCCAAGATTCATGTATGTAATGCTTTGTTAAGCATTGATTTGATTGCGTCTTTCTTGAGTAATTTGATATACATATAATAGTCAGTTAGTGACCCTTTCTCATTTTCTTTTGAAGGTTCTTGGGAATAAGTACCAACATAAGTTGCTCGAAATAATTGACGAGTGGTTAGTATTTTGTTTCTTGGCCGTACATTTATGTTGCTTACTTCCATTCTAATTTCTGCTTAATGCATGCATGCAGTGAATTGCCAGAATTTTTTGGTGGCAAATGCAACTGTATTGAAGGTTGCCAAAGATCTGACAAAGGTCCTTGGAACGATCCCAACATAATAAAGGTAAATATCCCATCACTTGACCCCAGTCCCCAAGTATTATGAAAAAGAAAACATGAATAAATATCAAAGAAGAAAAAGGATATGTTTCCATACGAGACTTTCAGCTGGACAATGTCTTCTGTTGCTAACTTGACGCATCTCCAATTTGTCCAGAGAGTCCTCAATGGTGAGGCAAACTACGGCAGGCAAATTGTGACCATATCCAGCACCGATGGAAAGATAATCAGTTATGCTAGGCCAGGGCACCCAACTGTAAGTCTGAATGCTTGAGTGTAGAAATTTCGAGAAACATCATTCTCAATCCTCAGTCAGTACTTACTCCATTATTTTACTGAAGCAGAGAAAAGGCAGTGATGCATCAGCCGAGTCTGGGTCTGAAGTGGAAGACGTAGCATCTCCTACTGCATCAAGGAACCTGATTACACATCCTATTTTGATCCCTGTTCACGAGGAGGCAAGTGGCTAACCCTGTACTGTTTAGTGTATGAATAAAAACCTGACACTACTGGTATAATCTGGGAATTATTGGTGAAAGGACACTAAATTATAATCATTCTGTAAACATTCATTGAACGAGAGATGGTACTACACCCCCTTGTTTTCCTGTTCCTTTTGGTAATATGGGATTTTCACCAGTTCGCTTTCCTAACAAGTTGAAATATAACTTTGGGCTACTCATTTTAAAATGCTATTGCCATTTTTGTTATTGTCTACCGTACCAGATTACCAGTATTAATGTGTAACCTCTGTTGCTACCTCCAGTCAAAATTGTCAGCACATGGATCTGCATTTGTTGCTCATGCTTCTATTGAAGAAAGCATTCCTGTTGTGGACAAGGTTGTTGATGATGGATGGGGTAGTCCCAGAGGTAGTCTACAAGCTTCTTCAGGTATTCTACGTTGTTATATAATTGTTTTTTTATTGTGAATCTCTTGCCTATAGTTTTTGTTCTTCATTTTACACTTGTTCAATTTAAGTTAGTCCATGTGTGTTCCCACCGAATTTTTTCTACTATTTATATATAGATAATTAAGCTAGCAAAAGTATCTACTGATGTACTTCATCAATCCTTAAAAAAGTTAACTCCTATGCCAATGTGCTTACATTTATACCAATGTTTTGAGCTTTTGGTTGAGTACTTCTTTTCTTTACTTTTTATAAAAAGGAACTTTAGGGACTCAGCTTACAACTTAAGCTGGAAAGTGCCCTATAGTTTTAGGATGTAGTTCTCAAAATTACAGAAACATGTGATACATATGCAAGAATATTGTTCTGTATTACTTTGTGCTGAACCCTGAACCTTTTATAATTCTCCACACCAGGTTCATTGTCCTCGAGAAATTTACATGGCACATTTGAAGGACTCCGAGCTCAAATTATCACATGGCTGACATTCTTGATCATGACCCTTTTTGCTATGCTTTGTTTTGTCCCAAGCAAGATGGCTAGAAGGATCTCTAACCAATCTAGTAAGCATGACAACTATTGTGTTGAGTACCCTCAAGAACAGGAGTACAAGGAGGAGTTTCGACCTCCATCTCCGGCCCCATCCTATACAGAAAAGGATGTACTTTCATCGATGCTGAGACGGCTCGGTGAGCTGGAGGACAAGGTGCAGGTGCTTGAAACAAAGCCGTCCGAGATGCCATTTGAAAAGGAAGAATTGCTCAATGCAGCCGTCCGCCGTGTGGATGCATTGGAAGCCGAGTTGATTTCCACAAAGAAGGTAAGCTTGTTCTGTTCAAACCTGCTGGTTTCCATCTTTGATCTCAACTGGTACAGACTAGAACTGTCTGTTAGACTGTTACTCAATGACAATAATTAATACATGAAAACTATTGTTCTAGCCCTTTTTCTGATAAATGAAATAAGGCTGTAGATGCTGGGATAATGTTTATTCCATCATATAGAGAAAAGGATACTAATAAGGTCATGAACTTAACTATCTACTCCAACTTCCATGAGCAGGCCCTTTATGATGCTTTGATGCGACAGGATGAGCTACTCGCGTACATTGACAGACAGGAGCTGATCAAATTTCGTGTATGTTACTGTTCTCCCACCCTTCTTTCTTTTGTCATCTTTCGAGATATAAAACGTGTATTATTACGTTTCCACTCTCTTAAGTCTGATCATTAACTTATTAACCTTGTTAAGGTAAAGCTACTCACTCCCATCTACTGTAATTGATTGTTGTCCCCTATGTATGCCTTATGCAGAAAAAGAAGTTCTGCTTCTAAGATTTGACCGTGGAGCAGCTGTTCATGTCCGGTTGTCCGGAGCCGTTCGTGTATATTGGATTGCGGCTAATATGTTGAATGTAATGTGCCCATCTGTAGGAGTGTGTAACAGTGTAAGTATAGTAGGAAAACAAAATAGGTGCGTTGTGCGCCTTCGCTCCCCCTCCCCTACATATATCATGTTCCGAGTTCTCCAGGCCTACTGGAACTGGAACGACGAGTTGTTCAGGTCAACAATGTGTTGTCTGGATTCGTCAAAAAAACAATGTGTTGTCTGTGTGGTCTAGCACTTGTGTGCTAGCCTAAATTGTAATCTTGCAAGTTGGTGCATAGCTGATTGCGTGCTAATACGTACGTAGTTGTGAATGAAACCGCACGTGCTCGTGTTTATGTAAAAAATAAAATAGCAGCAACAAAAAAGGGCCCCTACCCTGCAAAGATGTGGCGTAATCTATTTTTCATGCGTCTATTCATATGTTATTCGGTTAAAATTATATCATGTAGCATACTATTTTCATGCGATCAAGTTTTAAGGGCTATATTTTTTTTAAAGCGTATCATATAGCCGTATCAAACGGCTGCAGACGTACTACCTCCGTCCCTAAATAACCATCGTTTTTGCTTTTTCTAGAAACAAATTTGACTAAACTAACAAATATGCCCATGCGTTGCAACGGGAGAAAATAATTAATCAAATTAAAGCACGACTTTGTACAAAAAAAAAACAATTTTGAAAGTTTTTTGTCCAATGCAAACCACACAAATATTTACTTGTAGATATATCATAGCTTTAGTTTCATACGATGCATGTATTGTTACAGTAATATCAAATTATGTGCTTTCTTTGATGAGGACCCACAAATAATCGCCCTGTTCGCTGGTTGGTTTCTGGGCTGATAAGCCCGGCTAGTGCTGGTTTGTTGTGAGAGAAAAACACTGTTGGCTGCCTGATAAGCCGTAACTGAAACCAACAAGCGAACAGGCTGAATATGTAATTCTAACATTTGATTCAAGTCGATAAGAATTTAGTTGCCGATATGTGCTGTTTTGTACACTGATGATTATGAAAGAGACGTCTCTCTATTTTACATGTTGTGGCGTTAGGGTAGCGCTGGTGCATGCGTACAATGCAGAGAGACATCAAATTAGACTGGACTGGATTAACTGAACAATCAACTGAACCGGATTTTAATAATATGATGAGTTTTGTTCTTAATCAAAATTGCATCAACAACTTGGTGGTGTGGAAATCTTTATTTTATAGAGAAAGATAGATTAGATTGGATGATAGATTATTTAAGATTTCAGTCACGGATATTTATTACAGAGAAGGATAAATATTTTAAAGATCCATGATACTATATTTGTTATTCATTATTTTTGTTTAGAAAAAATGGAGAAAAAAATCGCTTACACAACGGAACGTGGGCTTCCATCTAACAAAGGAAAAAAGAACAAAAATGGAACCAGAAAAGATACTCGGACAGAAACGTATTCCACGCAAAAACAAATAGAAGGTTCCACGATGGTCGAGACCGAGACACTTTAGGATTATTAGGTTGGACCGAAATTTATTAGTAGCTATTGCACCTTTATTATTAGGTATATATATATATATATAATATTTATGGTACAAAATTAATATCATTAGATAGATTATTAAATCTATTTTTATAATAAAATTATTTAAAGATATAAACGTTGCATATAATTTTTACAAATGTAGTCAAACTCATGGCAAAAAAAAACAAAAAATGACTGTTATTTAGGGACGAGGGAGTATAGATTTTAGATAGATTTGTAAAATTTTCACTTACATTTATTTTTCATAAAAATGAATTAATAAATAAAAAAAAAATCGTGTTCCTCGAGTCGTAGGCCACCTCGTCCCAACAAGGCCCAACAGCAGCAGCCCAGCGACTCACGGGAGTCACGGGCTCACAGCCACCAGGAGCCCATTCACGCACCGTCGCATCCTCCTCTCCCTGTCTCCCATGTCCCATCCGGCGGCGTCCTCCAGGCTCCAGCGGAGCCACACGCATTTGACGGTACGAAAGCCAGAACCCTAAACCCTCGGCCCACTATCTTCCCTACCCGGCCGCCGCCTCTCTCGGCGCTCCGCGGCACGAACAACACCGCCCCCTCCCCTTCCCCACGTTCGGACTCCCCGGTCGCAGGCAGCCGCCTGAATCGTCTTCGTGCTTGCTCTGGGCTCGCCGCGCTGCCGTCTCGGCCATTCGCTCCGGCGTCCGTCTCTACGAGGTTTGCCCTACTCGTGCCCACGAGAATCCTGCGAGGAGGGAGGCCGCACGCGCGGAGTCTATAATGGCCGACGGGCAGCCTATTCAGGTTGGTGTCTGGTTCTCCCAGCTGTGAACCTTGTGTTTTTTATAACCTCCTGACTGTTCTCCTAGTATGGTGTTCTCAATTGTTCTGATCAGCTGAGGAAGTCTCCTTTCATGATCCACTAGCTCCATAGTTTAGTGAGCAGTATTAGTTTGTAACCTTTGCCAAATGAACGGGCTCGGCAGTACAAACACCTATTAACTGCTAGGTTGTTAATTCATACGTAACGTGACAATTGACAGATAAACTTAACGTGATGCATTGTACTTAAGTTTTACTTCACTCCAGGTGACTGAAATCTTACTTTATCAATAAGTTACCAAAATTTATACTAGAAATTGAGACTGGGTTGGGGATTTGGGGTTAAGGTTTGGCGGTTTACCTGTTCTGGCAGCTGTAGAGGGAGATTCGGGAAGCCGTTCCGGCAGCGAGTGGTGGGTAGGGAGATTTGAGACGCCGCCTGCCAAAGTTGTAGAGGCTGGCCGGTGGGCGTGGAGTCGGCAGGTCGACGGTGGGGAGGTTGGGGCCACTGGACTCGAAGAATATCTCTGGGCAGTTGGTGAGCAGAGAGGAAGCATGCACGGAGGAGGAAGGTGCTGGTGCCTGGCGGGAGGTGGTGGAGCGACAGTAGTCGGGGAGTGTGTGCATGTGGGGCAGCAGTGTCGCGTCGAATGGTGAGCAGATAAGAAGAGGAAAAGAAGGCACATGATCTGGACCATTAGATTTGGATTGGGCGATTAAAAAAGCGACTGATAAACAAACCAAATTTCAGTCAACTGTTATGTAGATAGACCCATATGTTCTTCACTAGATATGAATATGATGTGTAGACTTGTAGTGACCTTGTGTCACCCTCTGTTACATTTACATTACAGTTTGTTTAAACAGTAGCAACTACAGTGAACAACAAAAGATCTATTCTTAGCACTTAAGTTTTTGATCTGTCACTTTGCAATGAATTTCATATTTAAAGGTGTTCGCACTTAGCTTGCAATGAATTTCATATTTAAAGGTGTTCGCACTTAGCTTGCTGCTAAGCCTTAGGACCTAGTACCATATTGGTCTTAGCCGCTATTGAAGGTTTTGTGCAGTTTTGTTTTTTAAGTTTCAGTTTCCTGTTTGCAGAATGCCATTGCTCTTCCTTTTGTGCTTTACTTCCTTCAAGAAAATGTATTTTCATTGTTTGTATCATTATAATTGAAACACTTTTTAAAGTTATCTGCAAACTAAAAAAAAAGGGCAGACCCAGTGCCGGAGGCTCCCACATGAGTGGGGTTTGGGGAAGGGAAAAACCGAGGCAAGCTTCCCCCCCGCAAAATCTGCGGAGAGGCTGCTTCGAACCCGCGACCTGGTGACTCAGTGAGACAGCTCTCACCACTGCACCAGGCCCGCAAAGTTATCTGCAAACTACTAGTTTCATTTCTGAAGACTTTGGATGCCAAGCTATGGTCTTTTGTACTCTTGCGGCTTATTATACTTCCCTATTGTTAAGTGGCTGATGTTACATTATTTACTTCTTGAGCAGGCGGCATCAGAGGAAGTGGATTCAATCCACTTCAGCTTCTATAGTGATGATGAGATTAAGAGGATCAGTATTAAAAAGATCACCAAGTCGGAGCGCCTTGATGCCAAAAACCTTCCTGTGCCAGGTGGATTACTGGACCCTGCAATGGGACCTATCAATGATACTGATACGTGAGTTCCTTCTCCCACTTTTGAAATCCTGCTTCTGGACTTGGCATCTTAGTTATGGTCCTTAGTCCTTGAGATCAGTTTACAAGGAAGTGACATCGTATTTCTTATGTTCTAATACCGATTACTATATTTCACCCCCAAGGAAAATCATATGGCTTTGCCTCAGTATGTATAAAATATATCAGTATCTTAGAAGATGAGTAACATCCGTATCGTATCTTAAGTTGCTGCTTGTAAGATTATGACACGGTTGGATTTGGTTAAGCCAAACACTGCCAGATGTGCTCTGCACTTCTCGCTGGTGAAGCGAACTGGCACCTTAAAATTGATGCCATACAGTGGCTTAATAATTGATATACATCATTTTGCAGGTGCACGGAGTAGTTTCATTAATTCTTAATTTAGGCCATGTGACTTGTTGATTTATTCGTAGTTGATGACTGGTTGAACAAATTCATGAAATGGAGCGAGCGCGTATATATGTTTTTGCATCCAGCACTGAGGAGAACATACTCTTTATGGAATATGGTTGTGGTGTATGATGTATTTGTTGTATGGATCTTGGCAAACAATAGAAGTGACATCATTACATGTTTTGATAATGGAGTTCAGGTTTTTTCAATTTATTTGATTCAAGCGAACCTTGTGGGTGTGCTCCCTTGGATATTTGCATATGGGTGTTAAAAAAATACATTTCTCTAGTTTCTGACTATGTCCAAATTTTAATGGTCAGCTGCAAGAGTTGTGGTCAGCATTCTGTTCGTTGCCCTGGTCACTTTGGTCATATTGAGTTGGCAAAACCATTGTTCAATCCTTTGCTGTTTATGAGTCTGAAAAACCTTCTCCATGTCACATGCTTCCATTGTCACAAGTTCCGCTTGAACAAGGAACAGGTGAGTCCATTTTCATCTTGCTACTTAGGTTTTCATCTTGGACTAAGGTTTTCATCTTATTGTGATTTCACTTTATTAGGTTGACAGATATGTGAATGAACTTGAACTTTTAGTAAAGGGTGATATTGTCCGTGCTAAAAATTTGGAAGACTCAGTTAAAGAAGCATATCTTTCTGAGGAAGATGAAGGCATTACCAAGACCGCTTCAGGCGATAAATCATCTCCTGTGAAAGACAAGAAAACCTGGACATCGATCCAATTGAAAGAGGTTTTGTCTATTTTTTCCAAGATAATGAAAAAGAGACAGAAGAAGTGTGCAAAATGTGACATGAAGAGCCCAACAATCTCAAGTCCTATATTTGGTTGGCTGGTCAAGGTATACATGATTTTAGCAGTTTTTGGTTAGAGCTTAGTGGTTACTTCTAAATTTTGTGAACATATTCCAAATTAGACTTATTTAGTTTTGTTTGATATTTGCTTAATTCACATGTTTTTGATTAAATTGGGGCAGATACGGATCAGTTACCTGACTCTTACGAAATTTAGACTACTGTTTCAATCTTCTTAAAACTGAACCATTCAAAAGTTTGTTAGCAATTACACAACTTAAAAATCTTTTTGCGTATCATCATCAGGACAGGATCACAGCTTCTGAGGATACGAAACTGGAAGTGTTGGTTTTAAAACCTGTATAATTAAAACTTCAGAGTATTTGAACATTAGTATACATTGAAGTATGTAGACACGCATGAATATAAAGTTGAGTTTTCCATTGTAAGTATTTGTGTAAGCCCTTCTCATAAACATTAAGATTCCACCCTGTAATTCCATGTGTTGTCATACACCACTAATGCCTCACTGGCATGTGAACCAAGCCCCACATGTCAAGCACACAATTAGTGTGATATTGTGCGTTGTGTAGTTATTCAGTGGCAGATCATGGATTCTCATGATGCTGTAACTGTTGCAAGTACTCACATGAACCCCCCCTAAAACTTCTAGACAATATACATGGAGAAATGACTTTATTAGCTATATCTATTTTGTGTTGCGTGTTCGAGAAGGAAAATATATCTATTTTGTGTTGGACTGTTGGGTATGGTTAACTTTAATCTTCATCTTGTATTGTCAATTCAAATTCTTGATGGGAAAGCATTTGCTGCATCTTAATTCTTCATTGCATGTGATTGCATCTTCTGATTTGTAGGACACAAGCGCTTCTGCTGTAAGAGCAAATGCAATTGCTGGTTTTAAACTCAAGGGAGATGGTGATGCTCACAACTCAGGGGAAACGGGGGTTTCTGGTCTTGACGAAGAGCCAACTTCACCTGGAATGGTGTCCAAAGGATCAATCAATGAAGTTAGACGCCTTTCTGATGATACAATTAAAGAGATGGTAGCATCATCAGGAAAGAAGCATCTATTGCCTACAGAGGTATGTTTTGTGGCTTCTTGAGTTTAAAAGGGAAATGCAAGCTTTGGAAGCAGATCGCTAAGCATTTTATTACTCAATTTCTTCAGGTTGAATCTATTCTCAAGGACTTGTGGAAAAATGAAGCCAGGTTCTGCATGTTACTTTGTGACTTCCAGAAGAATACGTTAAGTGAACCAGAAAAGAGAAGGGGCTATGAAATGTTTTTCTTGAATAGTCTCCTTGTGGCACCAAATAGATTCCGCCCATCAACTAGCTCTAGTCTTGGAGTAAGTATCTCAGTCATCTAACCGACTGAATTATGTTCTAAAGCTGACCGCTTTAGTTTTTTGCTGTTGTAGATTATGGAACATCCTCAAAGTGTTCTGCTAAGTAAAGTGCAAGAAGCCAATCTTGTGCTACAGCATAACAATGCATGTTCTAACCATATGGATGTTCTTCGAAGATGGATGGATCTACAACGGAATGTAAATGTGTTATATGATAGTAGCAGAGGCCTTGGTAAGGATGTATTCTTTTCATAATGATTTGGACTGGCGCCTTTCACTTCCTGATCCAATCCTGTGTTACCGCCTTACTGGGACATGAGTGCAGATGTTGGTGTCTGACTTGGGTGTGGGCGTCCGATTCGCAACTATAAATAGGATCTGTGGATTTGTCTATTATATATTTATTTATACTATTTTTAACTAGAAAAGGAATACATCCATATTACACAATGTGTGCAATCATTTATTGTTGTGTCATCTTTAACTAGGCCCTGTTTATATCCTGCTAAAATTGGCACATGCTAGCAACATCTACCTTGCTAATTTTTGCTAGTAGCTAGCACACCTGTTAGTAAGTGGCATGTTTGGTTCCAGGCTTGCTAATTTTCAGTTGCGCTATTAGCAACATGGATCCAAACAGAGTGTAATCTATATGTGCCAAATCCATAAGCAAATGCATCACATGCTTAAAAAGGAGAGGGATAAAGATAGAGAGATGCTATTAAGCTGCCTTTTGTACCTGTGTGTGTTTGGTACCTGTGTGTGTGTGTGGTATATCAGGGCTCTTATCCCATTCTTCTTTAATACAATGATAAACAGCTCTCCTTCAGGTTGTGGAAAAAAATTGCACCGCTTGGCCCAACAAAACATAACTTACCCGTTGCCCTGTACACAGGCATGCAGCTAGCAGCTGCTGCCGCCTTTCATTCCCCTTGGTGTGTCTCTTGCTCCCATTGCAGATCTGCTGGAACCGTAAGATGGCCATTTCCTTGCATCTGGGACTCCCAAAATTGGTCGCCCCTGCCCTTCTCATCCCTCCGGTGCTCTTCGATTGCCTAAGGATCAGATGTTGCTAACCCAATGGACTGTGAAGGATAAGGCTGCAGACCTGCCATCCTCATTGTCTTCAACCTTGGCAGGCTGGCAGCCCCGTCGGCCCTTCTCCATATTCCCATCCTCTGTATTCGGTGGTCATCGCTGTCTTCCAAAGGAACTTGTTTGCTTTTGGCGTGGCTCCATCGTGTCTGATACATGTTACACTGTGTTTGATGTGAGTCAACACGACAAAATTATTTTGGACATGGTGGCATGCATGTCTATAACACTAGTCCAATCAAGTCTCACTGTAAAAATAAAAAGCTCGACCCTGTGGAACAGCCTCCCTGAGGCATCATGTGATTAAGAAGCCTCAACCACATTGGCCAAGAAAAACCCCTGAACCTTGGCTTCACCCTATAGGACCACGAGTTTCTTGGTTGGCGACCACTGCGACTACCCCTGGTAGAAGGGCCCAAACGAACCACAAGCGCCACAGGCTGGCACTCTGCCACTATTTTTTTGGTCTGCCAGCAAGGGGAATTGTTTTGTTGCCACCACGATGGGCTGGTGTGTCCCTCAACTGGGGAGCTTACTGCTACACTACTAGAGTGTTGGCAACTCTCACCGTAAATAGTGACAATATATATGAAAACAAATATTTCGTTGACGGATCTTTGATGGCATAATCTTCATAACCATGTTAGTTACATTAATCAATGGAGAAGAAAATGAAAATAGTGTAGCAGTATAATAGCCCATGTTTGATGCCACATTCGCACCATCCATCAGTTAAGCTAATGGTGATTTGGTCTAGTACGGCAAACAAGTTCAAACGTTAGTGGTCTTAAAAATTACTCGCTGCATCTCAGAATAGAGGGCATGGCTGAATGTTTTTTCCAGGTCCCAGAATACAGGGTGGCACCTCTCTGTTCCTGTTCACGTCTATGCATGCACTTATTTCATGCATAGCGCTGCAACTCCTTGGCTGCCATTAGAGTGTTACCTCTGCAGATTCTCTTTCTCTTCCAAGTAGTACTGCACCACCACTTGTATTCTCCCCCATTGGTAGCAGGCGATTGCGATGACAAATACCGGTGGAGGCGGCTTGGGCTGGTCGCAAGCACCCAACACATGTGGCCACAGGTGCAGGTGGAGCTCGGTCGTGCTTGCGGCAGCATATGCACCGGTAGCAGGCGATTGCGATGACAAATACCGGTGGAGGCGGCTTGCGGCAGCATATGCAGAGGTTAGCCGTGCAGAAGTGCTCTGTGATCACGGTCTACATCAGCTGCAGACGGAGGTGGAGCTAGGCCGTTTGAGAGCTTTCTGTGATGGTGGCCAACTGGCCATGGCAGTGTGGTTGAATTGGTGATCATTGGTGAATATGCATGGCGCTATGCGGAGAAAGCTGATCAGCAAGCGTGTGGGGGCCGGGCGGAGAGCACATACGGAATTCGTTATTTGCGCGTGCGAAAAAAAAGGTAGGAGTGTGGGCTTAGCTACGCATCGAGCTTTGTGCTGGGCAGATGTCGGGCGAGGAAGAATCAATTGCTTCATTGATTTCTGCGTTGAGAGCAGTTGTGCCCTGTATTCTGGTATGGAGTAATTTACAAGTTGAGGGGTAGGGGTGAGACAACCATGCAACTTCTGGGACTAGTGATGCAACTCTCTCTTTTCTTTTCGATTGTGGTTGGTAGTGGATGGTTCTTGGTATTATTTGCCAATGGACCATCTCAGCCCTGAGCTTATTTTGATGCTTATTGGTGCACTATTGATTTAAAATGTCAATTTGAGAGCTGCTTGAAAATAAGTTTGCGTTCATTTAAGATGCAGTTGTTCTTGCCTTCTTGGGAAGGGTTAGGTTAGGTATAATATTTTGCCTCTACTCATTTGTCTCTGTGTGCTGTTAGTTTGTTTGTGAGCCGCTTTGAAAATAAATTTCTGTTCATTTAATATGCAGTTGTTCTTGGGAATGGTTAGGTCTAGTATAATATCACCTCTAGTAATTGTCTTTGTGTGCTGGTTCGAAATATTAATTTGCGAGCTGCTTTTGAACATAAATTTGTATTTGTTTAGTATGCTGATCTTGGGAAGGTTTAGGTTTATACTATCATCTCTACTCATCTTTGCTCATTACCTTGGGTTCTTTACTCATTTTATCTACCCCCACTATAAAGGTTGATGGCTAAATGTTTATGTTGACAATAACAGTAAGAAGCGAGAAGAATGCTCATGGTATACGACAACTATTGGAAAAGAAAGAAGGAATTCTTCGACAGAAGATGATGGGGAAGAGGGTTAATTATGCATGCCGATCTGTTATATCTCCAGATCCGTACTTGGCTGTTAATGAAATTGGCATTCCTCCTGTTTTTGCGACACGGTTGACATATCCTGAGGTATGTGCTTTATGCATTGTCCATCATCCTGTATGATTCATTTTGGAACAGCTTTGTTTATGTTTGTGTTCTGACTTGCCTTAGCCCCCCCGATCCCTTTTTAACCATGACATGCCTTGACCCCTTCATACTATCTTAATCTAATCTATTAATATCCGTGATATTGATTATATACACAAGGAAATAATCCCAACTAACAAGAAACACAAATATTTTTATCTTGCGGTCCAAATTTTCGTCTGGATTCTCATGCAACCAGGTTGGCACAAGAACCAAGAAAGGGAGAAGTGGGGATACGGAGAGGATAGGATAGAGAAGAAATGGGATAGTTTCTATATTTGTAGTGTCTACATGACATGACAAGTATGGAAACTACCCAATAGTTTCTGGTTGGGACAGCCGTTACCCACGTAATCAGCCAGTCTGGACCTTCAGAATTTTTAAGCACCTGATGAACACCGGTACCTGATAGACTGGACATGCTACCTGGCAGTCTGGAGTCTGGATACAACTGATCTTGAACATCTGATTGTTCAGAGTATACCATCCAGGTGGCAGGTTAGCTGTCGGGCATTAGCTGGAAAAGTGTTTAGTCAATGTCGAAGTGCATGATCTTTCTCTATGGATGCAAAGTCTGTAAGGTTTCTAGCCCCTCAAGTGAAATGCATGCTAGTTTGAGGCTGAGACACTCAAACAAATTGGAAGTATTAGTAAATCATTCTCTAGTGCAAAACCCATAACTTTCTGGACAGTGATCCCAACTTTTGAACAGGTATAATGTTGTGAAAGCATCCTTAGCCTGCATTCTACCTTTGTCTTGAGCAATTTTCACGCACCCGAATTTCTTGCTAGTTTTCTAACAATGCTTTCAGTTTCTGGGACTGTTCATCATATTTCCAATGGTACCATTATCAAACAACCTACTAGGGGCCTGGATGCTTCTTTACTTAAGTAGTATATGACCAGATCATGATGTGCAGTGCAGCATAGTGCCAAGCCGTACTGTCCTACTGTATTCCCAGCAGTGTGCTGATGGTCATCTTGGTTGTGGGGCAAAACATTGAAGGGTAGGATAAGGAATACATATGAGTTGTTGGTAAGATTGTAGTTGAATGATGGAGGGTTGAGATATGGCATTGTCTGTATCCTATCGCATTCCCACAATACAAACAGCCCCAGAGTTAAGGGAAAACCTAATTCAGAATTTTGTACCTGTTGGGAAAACGAAAGACTGACTAGACATCCTATTACAACAAGAACCAGAACAACCAGACCACCAAAGTAAAAAATACAGAAGACATCACATGGTAATAAATTCCATTTCCACCTGGCTGGTGAAAATCATTTGGATCAACAGGGCCTCTTCAGTCATTCTCCGGTGGGTCTTTGACCTGACCATCTTCAATTCTTGGCACTCCATTCATGGAGATGCTTGAAGTTAACACCAAGATACTCATAGTAGTCTATCGTAATATGCATGACTTCGATCACCAAATACCTGCATCTCCCCTGAACACAGCATGTCTATTGTTGTGCTTAGACTAGCTGTTCCTTTATGCGAGTGATGCAACTGTAACAACTTCATCAACAGGTGTACTTGTACTGATATACGTGGTGAACTTGATCTTTCATTGTGGTTTTGATAGCTTGTGTTGTGATTTATTAGTCCTAGCCTTTTCTTCAAGATTTTACAGCTAATAAAAACAAATGCTGAAACAGCTTTATATCAGAATAATTTCCTTTCTCCGTTCAAACATTCTTCTCCTAATGAATGAATAAATTTTCGCTGCTCTTTCCAAGCACCTTTTATCTTTGAACTGTTGATTTGTAGGATTTTCCATAATTTTTGACATTCTTTATCTTTTTCTCCACAGAAAGTAACACCCTGGAATACCAAAAAACTCCAAGAAGCTATAAGGAATGGTGCTGATATCCATCCAGGTGCAACACATTACAGGGACAACAATAGCATGTATAAGTTACAGGCAGTCCCTGCCAAACGCCGTTCCATTGCTAAGATGCTACCTGCATCCAGAGGATCAATTTGTCAGCCAGGGAGAGATCCTAATTGTGAATTTGAAAGCAAGGTTGTATATCGGCATCTTCAAGATGGTGACATTGTACTTGTCAATAGGCAGGTGTGTCTATACTCTCGTAGTTCCATATTCTTGATTAGTAATATCTGATTTTCTCCCTCCAGTCCCATTGAGACACCATTTTAGCAAAGTGGTTTTGGTTTGTGATCGATTGCTGTTTTGTTTTTTATACACGATTCAGGCATCCAAATACCCGTACATTCTTAGTATTGTTAAGGAAAAGGATGGATGGTTATTGGGGGCAAAATTTGCTAAAAGCAGTTCATAATGCTTTGTTGTGATTCCGCAATAGGCATGAGATGACATTAAATAATTAGGTCAGATGAAATGCAATTTGAATGCATATCTGAGCTCAGGCAAGTTCCTGCCTGCTTCCCCAAAAGTTTCAAAGCACACTTTGGAAACAATTCAGGGCTTGATTTTGCAACCACTCACCATTCTGCCCCTAACCATACTGCTTACGATTCTGTACGGCACAGTGGCTGTTGTGGGCGATAGGGCTATTACTCTTTTTCGCCATCAACCATGAATCCATCATATAGCTGTTCCAGTTTATGGATCTTGAATTTCTCTAATGTCTCATTTTTCTTGGTTGTGATTCAAAGCCTACTCTTCACAAGCCCAGCATGATGGCTCATTTTGTTCGTGTGTTACCTGGAGAAAAGACGTTACGAATGCACTATGCCAATTGCAGGTACTTGGATATCATCTTTTATTCCATGCTGTGCTGTCCCTTTGCCTACATCACACGAGCAAACAATTGACTGCTATCTCTTTTTAGCACCTACAATGCTGATTTTGACGGAGATGAGATGAATGTGCACTTTCCACAAGATGAAATATCCCGTGCTGAGGCCATGAATATTGTTGATGCAAACAAGCAATACATTGGTCCTAGGAGTGGGGATGCTGTCAGAGGGCTCATACAGGTATAGTATGCACACCTTGATTATTTTGTGCACTGATATATGGAAGACATGTTTAATATGCTCATACTATACCCATATGCACTGGTATAGTGTGCGCGGTTTAATGTCAAATGCATCTATCCTCATTAGTAAACTAACTCTTCCTGTTAGACCTTGCAATCATATTTTTCCTGTAGTGCCTTGTTTCTAGCTAGTTCATAGCTTGTTGTTTTTTCTCTGCTCATTTTGTAAACTTGGTTGTTTCTAACCCCTCTTAACCTCTTAATGAAACACTCGCAAAGCACATTCTTTAAAAACTATATTGTCTCTTGACGTTGTAACTGTTATCGTTTTTTGTTAAACTTGTTTTATTTTCATTTATAGGACCACATTGTTGGTGCTGTACTACTGACAAAACCAGACACATTTCTAAGCCGTGAAGAATATAGTCAGCTTGTCTTTGGGTCTTGTGTGCCATCCTCAAATCGTGGCTCTCGTCACCCTGGTAAAAAGGTGTCTGCTATTGAGGATTATGGTACACTCGAACTTGTCCATCCTGCTATTTGGAAGCCAAAGCCCTTATGGACAGGAAAACAGGTTAGATGTTTCTGAGTTCTGACAAATAATTCTCTCCTGTTGATGTTGAGTTGTTCTTGGGAGTGGCTTAAGAACGTCTATGTAACTTTTTTGTTTACAGGTTATAACAACAATCTTGAATCATTTAACAAAAGGTCGTCCTCCATTTACTGTGGAGCAGAAGGGAAAAATACCAAAAGAATATCTAAAAGAACAAGATCCTTCTGCTCAAAAAGAAAAAGAAGATCCTCCTGCTCAAAAAGGAAAAGAAGATCCTCCTGCTCAAAAAGAAAAAGAAGATCCTTCCACTCAAAAAGAAAAAGAAGATTCTTCGGCTCGAAAAGGAGATCGTTCTGCTCAAAAAGAAAAACAAGAAGATCCTTCTGCTCAAGAAGAAACACAAGAAGATCCTTCTGCTCAAAAAGAAAAAGATCCTTCCGCTCAAAAAGAAAAAGAAGATCCTTCAGTTAAAAAAGAAAAAGAAAAGCAAAAGAGAATACAGAAACTAAAACAGAAGCAAAAGCAAGATGATCGTTCTGAACTGGTCTTATATATTCATGATAATGAGCTCATAAAGGGCATAGTAGATAAGGCCCAGTTTGGGAAGTATGGGATAGTTCATACAGTTCATGAACTCTATGGTGCGGATACAGCTGGGATACTGCTCTCGACATTCAGCCGCTTATTTACACTTTTCTTGCAGGTAAACTTACAAATAACGCTACCTCTTTTTTTAATCGTGGGTGATTCACCAGTAACATCTGTAGTTTTAATTGTGAGTGTAGCTTAATTGTCCAACCCAACTAAAACATTTGTAGTGTGGAAACTCATTAGCAGTAAACTATATACCTTTCTAGACGTCCCTGCTTATTGAATGTCTTTGTGAAACTAAGGCACATTTATCATTACTTTTGTGCCTAGTATGTTTGGCCAATGGCCACAGGACATTTGATGTGATCATTTATCATTATTTTGCTTTTGTAAATAACAAGACTAGCCTGTAGCAGACACTACCAAGATATCCAAATTGCCGTGTCAATGTTGCATTTAATGTGTTTTGTGCAAAACATGTATATCTAGTATCACATCATACACTTCTAGATGGTCCATGGGGGCCATGAAGAAAGGGGAAGAAAAGAGGGTTGGATGAGTGGTTCAGAGTAGTTTTGACTGGACAAACACACTATCAGGCTGGCTGAGTTTGTGTTAAACTACACTCGTTGAACCATTACAGCAGTCATATGGCAGCTCATAAAAGTTGAGCTTTTGCAATACAGTATCTGTGTGCACTCTGGTACATATGACAATTTACTTATCTGACACTAACCTCAAATTACTTAATTTTGTGTTGACCAATTAGTGTGTACTAGTGTTTTGAGTAACACAGTGCCCTGATTTTGCTTAGCCTTCCATCTCTCATATTTTTTTGACATATAACACCAGCTCCTGCACATGTGTAGTAAGGCGTAGGCTGTGTATGTCTGCTCCCATCCTGGCCTGTTCTAAAACATCGTTTTGATCTACTGGTACCTACTAGGAGTCATTCTGAATATGATATTTAAGATGTAACTAGAAAGGTATTTTAATCACAGTATCATCAGATGCAATTAGAAAGTCCTTCAGATTCTACTTTTACCAGATCTATTGAAATTTGATGCCATATCTCTGTTGGATCTTGTAGGAGAATAATCTCAACCTTATAAGTTGTGACCAGCATTCCTGAAATCTCTAGAGGGTGATCTTGCGATTTTTTTTTTTAAGTTCGAATGCATTTCTGCTGTTAGCTCCATATCAGTCAAGCTGACCAAAATGTTGTATAATATCCTATTTGTGTCATCCTTTTCCTAAGCGGTTTTGTGTTGAACATTTTTGAGCCTTTGACAGATGATTCTGTTAGTCTTTCTAGTACAAATTTATTATTGGTTTGTGATATCATAATTGATGAAGTAAAACGATGTAATTTCTTTCAGTCGCATGGGTTTACTTGTGGGATAGATGACCTGCTACTATTGCAAAAGGCGGATAAACTGAGAAGTGACATTCTTAGTGGAAGCGAAAAGTGTAGCGAAGAAGTCCACCTGAAATTTACTGGAGCTGGAGAGGATCTTAAAGGTTTGTGGAACGTTATAGCATAAAATAAAATAGTTGTTTTTTTTGGCCTTTCCCTATACACTCTATAGCTTCATGTTGATTGCTTATTTGTTATTAAGGTGATCTGGTAAAATTGCATATGGAGGTGGAGAAGGCTGTAAGAAGTAACGGTGAATCGGACACGGCTACCTTGGACAATCATATGAAAAATGCTCTAAGTGCAATAACAACCGAAGTCAATAAAAAATTATTTCCAGATGGTCTACAAAAGCCCTTTCCTGGAAATTGTCTCTCTCTTATGACTACAACTGGAGCCAAAGGTGGCCCGGTACGTTTTTTTTTTCCTTCAGTCAGAACTTAAAATAGTTTATTATTAATTTACCTGAAAGCAGACCAAGGCTAATATGGTACCGTTTTATATGTCTTGGTAGGTTAACATGAATCAAATATCATCATTGCTAGGCCAGCAAGAGTTAGAAGGAAAGCGTGTTCCACGGATGGTTTCTGGGAAGACTTTACCGTGCTTTCCGCCGTGGGATATTTCTTCAAGAGCTGGTGGTTTCATCAGTGATCGATTTTTAACTGGTCTGCGCCCTCAAGAGTATTACTTTCACTGTATGGCAGGCAGAGAGGGGTAATTTGCTTCTCAACTCTTCTTTCTGATACATAATAACCATACATTTGCATCTGCACTATCCTCACATTAGGTTAATCTGATTAAAATAGATTTAACAGGTGAATTACAGCATAAGATCTAGCATCTTGAGGTCGTATAGGGCACCATAGGTCACCTACACTGCATGGATACGTGAGGTTGGGATACGCGACAGATATGTATCCGTGAAGTATCGGCGAAAAAATAAATGCAAAAGAAATCCGATACTTGGTCTGATACGTATCCACGCGATTTGACGAATGATGATACGTATCCGCCACAGACGCCCGGCTGCATGAGCGCTGCCGCCTGATGGGCCTCTGCCGGCTCACATGCGTGAGTGCTGACGATGCAGCAAGCATGAGGCACGGCAACTCCTGCCCGGATGCACAGCGGCACGAGTGCCGCCGCCTGACGTGCGGCTTCCTGCAAGTATGCTCGAGCGCTGATGGCGCAGCCTGCCCAATGGTGATTCAGTGGTGACTTCTGGTGTTCTCCCCTTCTTAATTTCTTTCTTCCCCTCCTGATCTAGTCACTCGTTGCTTCATTTCTTCTTCAACGGCAACCTCTGTTCAGTTCTTGTTGCCTGATTTGATTTCTGTCTTCCCCTGTGGAGGGGTGAGAACTGGGGAAGCAAAGGATACAGACTGAGCGGTGGAGCTGTGCTGATTTTTTTAGTGGTGTCGGCGGGGTGACCAGTTGAGTGTTGGAGACGGAGAGCTGTGTCTGTACTTCTGTTGTACGAAGCCATTAGTCTAGATAGAAGCAGTTAAATAATTGTAGATGTGGCTACACAGAGCGTCCATGCATCTTGAATTCCTGGTCGGCTTCTACTAATTTTAACATGTCTTATTATTTAAAAAAAAACATAAATCGTACACCCTCTGTCCCAAAATACATGATGTTTTTGACTTTTAGACATTTTGTTTGACTGTTAGTCTTATTCAAATATTTTTTGTAAATATTGTTTATTTTGTTATGATTTATTTTATCATTAGAGATACTTTAATAATGACTTATTTATTTTATTATTTGCACAAAAAATTGAATAAGACAAATGATCAAACATGATATCTAAAAGTCAAAAGCGTCATCTATTTTGGGACGGAGGGAGTATCGACATATCGGAGTTTTTAGAAAAATGACGTATCCGCGTATCCGTATCTGTGCTGCATAGTAGGTCACTGTTTGAAAACAGGCGTTTCAAGTTTTGAATGACATGGGTATCCAATATTCATGCATCTTCACAGCCTAAACTGTATGGATATGAATTGGTTTGCTACATCTTTCTGAAGAGAAAATGATTGTCATATATTCTAAAATTGATATGTTTGATACTCATTAGTCATTAGAACATTATATGTGAAATTCTGAATGTTTCTGCAATGTATATTCTTTATATTTACGATATTAAAATTGTGAGTTCTTTGTAGGTTGGTTGACACAGCAGTCAAAACATCCCGTAGTGGATACCTTCAGCGTTGTCTTATGAAATGTTTGGAATCGTTGAAAGTCTCCTATGATCACACAGTTCGGGATGTCGATGGATCAATTGTACAGTTCCAATATGGAGAAGATGCAGTTGATGTTCTGAAAACTAGCTTTCTCAACGAGTTCAAAGAACTTGCTGATGTAAGGAATTCAATACTCAACTATAGTTTAGAACCACCTTGAATTTGAAGTATCTCCCTATTGCTTGTTTGGTAGGCTTCCTAATGGTGTGCTATATTTGATCCAAATTACAGAACAGAAAAGCTGTCCTTGCCAAGCTCGGTGGACACAGTATGAAGCCCACATATAATGAATACATTGATGAACTGCCAGTTAAATTGAATGATAAAGCGGAAGAGTTTCTTAAGCGTTCAAAGGAATTTCAACGCTGTCGTTACAACATTGAGGCAGAGGAATTAAAGGAGTTACTGAAAGTCAAGTTCCTATCTAGTCTTGTAGATCCTGGTGAGGCTGTTGGTGTGGTTGCTGCTCAGTCAATAGGAGAACCTTCTACGCAGATGACGTAAGAGGTTCTCTTCATTTATATATAGTTTTTGAGATTCCCACATTCATTTCTCCATTTTATGCTAGACCTTCTGTGGTTGAACTTATATATATATCTGATAAAAGAGGCAGTTGTATTTATGTGCTAACTAAGGTTTTTTTCCTTTCTTTTTGCTTGTGTTGTACTACTGTTTATCTATGTTATATTTCAGAACTTAGATATAACAACTCAAATATTGTTTTACTATGCATTGCAGGCTCAACACTTTTCATCTTGCTGGAAGGGGTGACTTGAATGTAACTCTTGGTATACCTCGGTTGAAAGAAATACTGATGACTGCATCAGCTAATATTAGGACGCCTGTTATGAAGTGTCCTTTGCTTGAACATATTTCTATGTGAGTTTTAATTGTGATTACTTTTAGGATAATGAACAACCTGAGTTTTGTTTCTGCTGTATTTTCATTACTCTATCAAAGCTCACGCATTCATAACTTCCACGTGCACCAAATCTGTGAGATATGGGCATTCATTTGTTCTTTTGGTGAATTTGTAGGGATGATGCTAAAATGGTGGCTGCAAAGCTTACGAGGGTTTGTGTGGCTGATATAGTGGAGAAAATTGAAGTGTGCACAGTTCCTTTTTACAACTATAATGGGCATGTTTCAACCCTATACAAATTACAGATGAAACTCTATCCAGAAGACCAGCTTGAGTCAGGCCTTACTGTAGATGAGTGTCAGACGACCTTGAGAACAGTTTTTGTTGATGCAATGGAACATGCAATTGAAAAGCATTTAGATCTGCTACACAAAATAAATGAGATCCGTGCTGTTAAGGTAAAAGATACAGAGGGCTCATTATCAGATGGTGGTGAAGAATCTGAAAGTAGACATGCTGATGGAGGAGACACTGGTACAAGTGATGATGATGATCAAAATGATAATGATGATGACTTGGGAACTGATGCAGAAAAGATGAAACGGCAAGAGAAAGATGAGATGGAGTATGATGATGATACTGAAAACGAGGAGGGAATGGGTAGCGAATCTGAGGAGAGCGATGATGATCCAGCTGAGTCAGGTGATGAGTCACAAGAGGCTGACAAAGAACACGAAATCTCAAAGTCTAAGATGACTTCAGTGGATGACCTGTCATATTCTGCTAAAAAGGGGAAAAAATCAAAAGATAATCATGGAACAGCTAAACTAGAAGAGAAAAATCAAAATGAGGGAAGATTAGATGACCAGAAACAGGGTCAAATAACGAAGCGCAGGAAAAAGCTAAAACGTACTATCCATGTTGAATCCAATGATTTGGATTTTGAGATTCACTATGCCTTTCATGATGAACCTCATATTTTACTAGCTCAGGTAACAAGTGAACTTGAACTTTAATTTTCTTTCTAGGACTAGTTACTTTGAAACTCAACATATTTCCTTCATCGGGTTGACTACATCATATAAGATCTTTAGTTTTTGAGACCAGGATTTACTGTTCCACTGTTCCAGCAACAGTTCATAGCCTACCTCAGCCGTCCGTTTTTTTATCAGCTCAGCAGATGTGGCCACGTCTGTACTGCCTCCAGAGGCTTCTGGCCCAACCTGGCCTTATCCTCCATCTGCTAATCCGTAGTCTCGCCTAGGCACCGCACGCTCGCCTCGCTCCGCTCGAGGCTCGCCTTCTCCTGTCCCACGCGCCCGTCTCCATCCGCTCGCCCCACGCCGCCGCCACCGCTGCAGCTGCGCCGACTCTAGCGTCCATTTCACTATTGAAAGCTAAATAAAATACTCGCACTGGTAGTAATACCACGTTTTGCTCCCACCTGTAAAAGAACCCTAACCTATTGTATAGTAAGTTCGCAAGGGCCAGCACACTGCACTTGTATTCAAACAGGATCTCATTCAGTAGTACAGCTTCTGGGACACTTGATTAGCTGGAGTGTGAGCTTTGCTGATTTTTCTTGTCCGACGCCGCATTGGCCATCTATATAATACCCCTTGTTCACATGATCTGTTCCTCTTTCCTATCCTTAATTTGTGTTGCTCTGTCATGCTCATGTCATTGTCATACTAAATTAAGTTTATGCTACTTAATTTCAGTAGCACTACAGTATCACCTTCAAGCAGCTGGTACTTTGTTAAATATTAGTCATACACTATTGATAATACTTCCGTTAGTTGATCTGTACAGAATTATGTGGAGCGCGCTTTACAGTTTATTTCTAGGTATTTATTATTGTGCGTGACTACTGGCCGTAACTCCCACCATATAACCTTTTAGCACTTCACATTCTTGTAGATGACCATTTTGTTTGGCACTAAATGGTTTTTAAAATATAGATTGGACCAATTTTTAGAACAGTCTGCATTACCTACTACTCCCTCCATCCCAAATTATGTCATTCCAATTTTCTTGGAGAGTCAAAACATCCCAAGTTTGACCAAATTTATATAATAAAATAATAATATTTATGATACCAAATAAGTATCATTAGATTTTTCGTTAATTATATTTTCATAATATACCTATTTGATGTCATAAATCTTTGTAATTCTCTCAATAATTTTGGTCAAACTTGAAAAGCTTTGACTGTCTAAGAAAGTTTGAATGTCTTATAATTTGGGATGGAGGGGGTATTATATAATTATTAATGTTCCAGTTGGGAGATTCTTAATGGATTCTTCTTTTTTCAAAAAATTCTTTGTTCAGATTGCCAAGAAGATAGCTAGGACTATTTTTGTGAAGGCCTGCAATAACATTGATCGTTGTAAGATTGTCAAGCCAAAGGATGACCATGCCCGTATAGAGACGGCCGGAGTGAACTTTGAAGTGATCTGGAACCTCAACGAATACATCAGCATGCGTGACATCACGTCAAATGACATCCATGCGATACTGAAGACATATGGGGTGGAGGCCGCACGGAAAACCATCATCAGTGAAGTGAGCGGCGTGTTTAAACCCTACGGCATCGATGTTGACATGAGGCACCTGAGCATGATCGCGGACTTCATGACCTTAGATGGCGGATACCGGCCTATGAACAGGATGGGGATTGGCCAGTTCAGCACCTCGCCGTTTGGCAAGATGACGTTCGAGACAGCAACCAAGTTCATTGTGGAGGCAGCCACACATGGGGAGGCAGACTTTCTGGAGTGCCCCTCAGCGAGTGTCTGCCTCGGGAAGCCCCCAAAGGTTGGGACCGGGATCTTTGGGCTACTGCAGAATCTTGAATTGGAGCAGCCCATGGAAACCTAAATCTGCATTTGGTGCACGTCTGGCCTTCTGGAAGGTTCACAAGTTTTGGTCCTATCAGCCTTTGCACGGCAGTGAAATGTGCTTTAGTTTGCTTATATGGTTTGGCACGCTGCATCTGTGGTGGCCTCGTGGCAACATGTCATTTCATATGGGCATGCTGCTGGAAAAACTAGCAGAACATGTCAAATACCAGCTAGTGATCTAGTAATATTTACAGCATGGTAGCTAGTTGTACACATGCTTTAGAATGTCATTGTTGTCCAATGCTTGTTAAGAGAGAACTGGGTCATGTTTGTTGCTAGGGTCTCAGAAAACAACTCTGCATGACGTCGAGGACCGGGCACCAGCATTGTGATTATTGACGAGCATACATCATATATGGTTGCAATATTCTATTGGCACAATCTCGGGTCGCCTGCTCACCTATATACTCTACCCTGTCATGTGGAATACTAGAAGCATTCGTAAGATTTCTTAATTGGAGCATGCGTTCAGATAATAGTTTCGTTGCAGGCACGCGTCAACTTCAGAATATACTACCGTTCCCATCCAAATCGCACATGCGTCCTGTGTATCTTTCTACTTTGTTTATGTTCTATACTACCGTGGTAGATAATCTGATGTATCGTGCGAGTAGTGTCCAAGGAGAAGGCAACATGGGGAAGTGAAAACCTGCTCTATCCTGCAGTAACAACCGAAATGGAATTTATTAAAGAATGGCAGCAACAAGCACAGGCTACTGGCCATTTAGGCAGCTCCATTGTGCGTTCTAAGCTGGTGCAAAGAGGAGAAAGAAGGAAGCAAAGAAGGTGCAATATATTGAATTGAAGAGGTCAAGAGGATGTGCTCCACCTTGCACCTGTTTATTTTTACACCCGGTGGCCGGTGCAAATAATAGAAAACAAATTTTCTTCTGTCTCATCCTCTCGCCTCTCATTCTTCTCACCAAAATATGTGGAAGAAAATTACACGTTGGAAAACTTTTTTGCTAACAAAGTACTTGTTGACGTGTCAACCTTTACACCTTGTTAAGGGAAAATACGCTGTGGTTGCCCTTATATGCAATTATTCTGGGTGGATGAACAGGCGGCTCGGTTGGTTAGTTGGCTGGCGTACTTCTCGCGGTAGAATGCTTGGGGGCTGCAATGATATATTCAGCGAATGAAAACGAAATGACCTTTCTTTTGCATATACATTGCACGGCCCAGCCCACAGGATACTTCGTTGGGTTTCATACAGTGTGACAGTGTCGGAACAGTCCTGCCGTGTGAACAAGGCCCACGCCAATGAGAACCATCCCAAGACCCAAATGATCATCATATAAATTTTGCTAAACAAAATAGCCATCTTAAATCATGTGTATCAAATGAATCAGGTAGGTACCAAATGTTAACATGTTCCCGCAGAGAAGCTCACTCGCACATGGAGGAGCATAGCGTTACATTACATGGATACAAATTGTTAACTCGAACAGACAATGTGAACATATTCTCCCAGAGAAGCTCTCCAGTCGATTGAACAACTGAGGCATCGCATTGAAAGATGCTTCAAGTGTTGAGTCCTGCGTGCATTTTGATCAAGGCTTGCACTTGGAAACTTTTCTTTCTTCATTCTACTGCAGATAACTCCAGCAAGGACTGCACCTACACATGATTAATTGATTAGGTACCCATTGTCGGTAGAACCAAATTTCATTACCAACGTAACGAAATTACAAAGTTCAAAGGTTTAACAGTACTACCGCCCACAAACCACATACCCTATCCTAAGGCACTGAACACCAAGGGCTCAGAATGACTGGGACCAACCAAGCAAACACTGCAAGCCAACAGAGGCTGCGAAACAAGTTCAAAAGTATGTTATAGCTACTTAACGACTTCATTACATGCCCAAGACCCGACAGACAGCACGCAGGCAGGCAAAGAGACTAACACGGCGCGATCATCCAGAGCCATGAGCTGCCGATCCTCAGTGTTTCCTTCTTTTCATTGCTCACCCGCTGTCATCTAATAGTAGAGTATGTGATGAACTCCCTGGAAGTGAAATGAAATGGCTGGGCGGGAACAGGATTCCTGAAACAAGAAAAGGCATAAAATCAAGATTTTAATTGTACATAAAATTCTATGTAGGCCATGTGGCATGAGATGGGTACAAGCATCAAATTCTATGTTAACTCTACTGTAGCTCCATAGATCTTGGTCTAGTCAAACATACTCATGTATTACAAAAAATTAATAGACATGCAAGGCATCCAACTTACGGTCTTGGTCCGTAGATCTTGATCTGTCGGACATGAGTATCCCTCCCGTTCAGATGATTGGATAAAACCGCAATTTGGAGCATAAATGTGTGAATGAATGTTTCCCTGCATACACTTACCCAAAAAGACATTAATATATCTGTCTACATTACAGAAGTAAAATCAAGTAGTACAAGGTTTAAACAGAGTGTCCCTTCCACTAACTTTTTAAAATAGTTTAAAGGGCGTACCCAATGCAAAGAGCTCCCGCTCTGTGCGGGGTCTGGAGAAGGGTGTCAGTGGCAAGCCTTACCCTCGCCTTCCACTCAACATCAACATCAACATAGCCTTTCAATCCCAAGCAAGTTGGGGTAAGCTAGAGTTGAAACCCACCAAGAGCCCCAAATCACAGTTCAGGCACTTCAATAGCTGCTTTCTAAGTTTTCCTATTCAAACATAGATCTCTAGGTATATCCCAAGCTTTCAAATCTCTTTTTATTGCCCCCCCATGTTAATTTTGGTCTTCCTATACCTCTCCTCATATTATTAGCTTGGCTTAGAACTCCACAATGCACTGGTGTCTCTGGAGGTCTTCTTTGGACACGGCCAAACCACCTCAACCGATGTTGGACAAGCTTTTCTTCAATTGATGCTACCCCTAGAGGATCACGTATATCATCGTTCCGAACTCAGTCCATTCTTGTGTAACCACAAATCCATCGCAGTATACGCATTTCTGTAACACTTAGTTGTTGAACATGTCGAATCTTTGTAGGCCAACATTCTGCTCCATACAATATAGCCGGTTTAATCGCCATTCTATAAAACTTGCCTTTTAGCTTTTGTGGTATCCTCTTGTCATAGATAATGCTAGAAGCTTGTCGCCACTTGATCCACCCTACTTTGATTCTATGGCTAACGTCCGCATCAATATCTCCATCCCTCTGTAGCATCGATCCCAGATACCGAAAGGTATCCTTCTTAGGCACTACTTGACCTTCTAAACTCACATCTCCCTCCTCCTGTGTGCAGCTCCGCCAAAGTCGCATCTCATGTATTCGGTTTTAGTTCTGCTTAATCTAAAACCTTTAGACTCAAGGGTCTACCGCAATAACTCTAGTTTCCTATTTACTCCCGTCTGGCTTTCGTCCACTAACACTACATCATCAGCGAACAACATACCCTCACCTTCCACTAACTTTTTAAAATAGTTTCACTTCCTAAATTATTATGATGGAAAAATTCTTCAAGCATTCACTAGATAAAATATTTTAACTCTTTCCTGGTGAGATTATAGATGCAGTATTGTCAGCCTCAAATGTGTCAGTATCTGACGACAAACTTGACAGGATATCCATGTCTTTTCAAATTCAACACATAGATTCAAACCAAAATAACAAACCAAGGCTGTGCACATTTGTTTTGTCCACAAACATTTGTTTTCTCCTCCCACATGTATAAAGCGAGTATACTCATAATTTTGGGAACTAGCATTCATCTTCAAGTTACAATGCATTACCGTGGATCAGCCCCGGATAATGATATATGCACCCACCCAACTGGCTTTGCAAGCTCCACAGTTTTAATCTCCTGGAATCATGAGAGATGTTATTGAAAATATTCAAATGATGGCAAAATTGTTAGTTAGTAAGCTCAACATTTCAATTTTGAAACGACTAGTTCAGTGCAGCACTACATGCAATGCAGAAGCAATTCTCTCAGGAAATGCCAGGTCATATTAACTGTATCTAACTTCTAGGAAGGCACGAAATACCAGAAAAAACAATCTGGTTACAGTGTATAAAATCTGTTCAAGTTTAGCCTCAGAATGATTATTTCACAGGCTTTGAAACTCCGACTCTCTGTCCTACTCAACTCAGACGAATCAACATGTAAGATCTTGCTTAAATCTACTACAGCCGACAAGCTTCTGAACATCCTTCAAACGATCTCTCATGGAGAACAAGCGTACCTTGAGGTTGTGGAAGCCATCCCCGGCCCGGATGGAGATCTTGCTCGGCGTGTAGCTCTCGTCGAGCTTGAAATCCACGTAGAGCACAACAAGCTGCCGCGCAACACAGAACCAATTAATCTCAAAACCATCGGAATCACAAGACAAAGCGAATATAGCATCGCTACTGAAGCAGGCACCTGCAGCTGCACCTTCTTCTGGAACTGGATGTTCACCAGGTGCGGCTGCGCCCCATCAGACCTGAGACCAAAATCGCAGAACCCGAGTCACCAACTCTTACCTTCTAGCTTCAGCTAATTCAACAAAGAAACAAAAAAAAAAAATCGGTGATGAGCGGTAGCCACTGACTGCCAGTAGGTGTTGAGGTTGTCGTCGCGCAGTGCCGCGACGCCGTTGCCGGCCTTGCAGGAACTGACGCTCCACGCGGCCGTCTTCGCCATCTCCCGCATGTCCGCGTCCACAGTCAGCTCCGGGCTCCCCTTCAGCCGCCCAGCGCCTGGTGCCCCCGCCGCCGCCGGGGTCGCCGCCGCCTCCTCCTCGGCGTCGGATTCCATCGGACCAGTGCGAGGAGGGGAAGAGAGGGTGGGGGAAATTTTGGACGCCTTGATGAGCAGTTGTGCGGGCAAGGAAAGCGGCCCAGAAGCAGGAGAGGAGTGCAACTTGCAGCAGGCCTTCAACAGGAATCGCAAAATGTAACAGGCTGGTTGCGCAAACGACCTAGGCGGACCGTGGCCTGCTCCGACGTGTGTGGCTTCCCTTTAATGGGCTGGTGGTTCGGCCTGGCATGAACGTGGGCTTCCACCACGCATCATTAACACGTCAATTGAAAGAAAATTTTGATTTGCCTCTGCATGTTAGTACTGTTATTAGTTCGATTTTCATCACCTTTTAGAAATTTGATATCTTTGATATTTCTAGCAGAGCATCTGCTTCTAAATCTATTTGCGCCATAGCATTGTTTATAAGGAAATCTATAAAACTAGACCATGATGCATATGTATAAAATACATGCATTCCCATTTCTCACACAACACAAGCCAGCAATGGAACCCCATCACGGTCACGGCGGTGGAAAGCATGAACGGTTGAATGAATAATAATAATAAATGAATATAAAATGAAATATCAAAACTGTGAAACAGTAAACTGCAGGAGGTGAACAGGAGAGGGTAGTATCCTCCACGTGATGAACCACGCACTGCCATTTCCGTAGGTTGCAAGCACAACAACAATGAGATCCCCATTCACAACCTAATTCTAATACATCGCCACAGCACAGCCGCAAGAGCAATGCTCCAAGCAACACGAAGAAAACTTTGCTTTCTTCAAGTACAGGACGATGATCACCCAATAACAGGCTCGCCTCCAACTATTCTTCATGAGGGGATGGGAATGGAATGGATGACGTGTCCAATGGCCAAGTCTGATGAGGCTGGTTAGTTGGCCGGGTGGTTGTATTTCCTGAATACTCTCTCCTGGTTCTCCCTCCACCATTCCTCGGCCTGCTGCTCCGCAAATCTCCTCTTGCTGATCAGGAAACAATAAAGAGAAAGCAAATGATCAGCTAAAGTTGTTCCTAGAAGCAAATTTGTCTCGGCACAAAATCAAAACCACCAAATTCTTTGTGTAATTAAATGTGCTATCTAAGTGATTGGCGCTGGTTTCTTCTCTATGCAATGAAAGGAAAATGACTCGTGGTAGGGTAGGTACCTGAATCTGACACGCTTGAACACTTTAGTACCATCTCTAAGCTGGATGAGTGTCACATATACCCCTGGTTCAAACTGCTCAATCAGTTGCACTTCTCCATGAGTACCAAGCTTTGGTCCTAAGTCACCATTAGCTCTCGAGCTGTTTTCCATGATACGATGGCATGGAGATTCGCTCGCCAAGGAAACAGCCGAGCTACTTGCATTTCCTGTGCTGCCATCCTGAGACATTACGAGGTTGCCTATGCTTGCAGACTTACGATGCATACCTGTGACTTCCAGTGGACGAATACCTTGTTCTGTAAGAAATCTCGCTGAATGATTTTGCAGGGTTTTTAAGTTGTCAGCAGCATCACTGGGCACCCTATCTGCAATACTCTTGAGCTGAAGAATGAATGGGCGTGATACGTGAGCACTCCAAGACAGATCCAGCAAACATGTAAATAAAGAAACACTATTTTATGAGCCACAAAGCTTATATCAACTCAGGTTATTCTCTATTCAAATTTAAAAACAAGTGCTCTTAATACTATGCTTTTTCATTCGCAACAATGTTGAGGCACACCTATATTTGTATTTTAATTGTATTATAGAAATCTCGGTACTATAAATTGAACAGAATAAAAGGAAGCATACTATTGAGTCTCAAGTATGCAGCATGATGTAGGGGCGAAAGCCCCTCCAGTTCCCTAAAAAAAAGTATGCAGCATGATAGCAACTTAAAATTTCAACAAGCAAGCTCAAGAGCTGCATATCAATCTTACAAAACTAGTTTAATAATTTACCTCATTGTCAAGAAACCTAATGAACTCCAAGACACCATTACGCCTTGAAGACTCTTCTGCAGCTATAGAGGCAGAATTTTCAGCTCTCCTTTCCGCTTTCTGCAGTTGCTCTTCTTGGGCATCACATTTTTGTTTCAGTTTATTAACCTGACAAAAAACTACCATTTTATCAACATCAACTATAAACACGATAAAGGCAGAAAAACCTATGGTATTCTAAATCATACCTGAGACTGCAACTTTGAGATATCTTCATTCAGCACCTGTTTAGCCATCTTCAAGTTATCAGTGTCACTTTTACCACAAAGAGGAGTCGCTGCTGATGGACTTGGCTTCTTTGTGAGAGGAGATGGTGACATAGGCATGGCCATTGGCATTGGAGCCATTGCCATAGGTTTCAGACTAGCTGGACCACCAAATGTTGCACCAAAAGCGAGATTGTTAAAAGGTAACATGGAAGGAACTTGGGGTGCCCTCATTGTGGACATAGGATCTGGTTTTATCTCGTTTCTAACTGCTTTTATCTCAGCTTGCTTGAGCGGTTCTGGTGTTGATCCAGTTGCAAGCCTGGAAGGCCTTATTTCTGGCCTCTCTGACCTGTCTTTATTATCAACAGAGCGACGAGCAATGGCATTTCTTTTGCTATGTGAACTGTTGCTGCTGGTCTCTGCAGCCTTAAGTTTCATGAAGCATGAATCGCATACGCGATGTGGTTTGCCAGGAGTTGGTGCCAAAGCAGCTTTCAGAACTTTTCTTGAACTACACGCATGGCAATGAACAAGCCCACAATTGTAACAATTATGTCTCTTTCTTGTGAAGCCAAATGGTTGCCTACAACCTGAGCAGACGGACTGATCAGCACCTGAAACCCACTTATGTATACAAATGCAGGTCGTGAAATTAGAACCACATGCTATACTTTTAACATGACGATCTTTTAATGCTTCCACAAGAGTTGGCTTTTTCTTATCTTCAACACCACCATGTCCCAGCCTCCCATTGGCCCCCATTCCCCATGTATATACTTCGCTTCGTGAAGTCAAGACTGCAACATGGCATGAGCCACATGAGATCTCTTCAACCAATTCTCCAGCCAGCCTATCTTGTATGGAGATAGGTTGTTTACCGTCAGATTTTGGATTCCCAAGCTGGCCATTGCTAGAGCTGCCCATTGTGAAAACATGACCAGATGTAGAGAGGGCAATGGTCATACTATGTCCACAAGCCACCTGATGGAAATTATAATCAATGAGAGATTGAACGCAAGCAGGAACAAGCCTAGCATCTTTATCCCCATGACCTAGTTGATTCTTGTCACCAGCACCCCAGGTATATAGCTTCCTGGACATCACATTCACACCTGCCTGATTACTACCCTCCACAATCGCAGCAGAATGCCAGAGTCCACAGGCAACTTTCATTGTTCTAAATCCACTCAAAGTTTCGACTTCCTTTGGATATGCAATAGTTTCACGATTCCCATGTCCAAGAGCACCAAATGTTCCATCACCAAAAGTGAACACTTTACCACTTGATGTGGTCAGTGCTGAATGCCATGAGCCGCATGAAACAGACAATACCTGAACCCCTTCTAAAGGTCCTGAGACTCGTTTTGGAAGCCAGTGGCTAGCTCCAGCACCATGTCCAAGCAATCCAGCATTGTAGTATCCATCACCCCAAGTGTACAAATCACCAGAGGCAGTTACAGCACAAGTATGGAACTCCCCGCATGCAATATATTCTACATTTGATACTGCTAAGGCTTCAACAAGTTTAGGACGACTAATATCTGCATCGGTCCCATGACCAAGCCGTCCGCCAAGTTCTTCACCCCATGCAAATACTTCTCCTTGCCTAGTAGTGAGTGCAATGTGCCTATAACCACACGCTATCTGTTGTACGTCCAAGACAACATCTGATTCAAGTGGTTTAGGAATTAAAATGTCTGCTTTGGAGCACAAATAGTTTGAGGATCCTTCTGTGGGGATCACATCAGTCCACACCTCACCCCATACATAAACATCACCAAGGGATTCAATGTCATCTTGTCCAGAACCTTGACTTGAAGAACTAGGAGCACTGGAAATACTAAGCCGGCTACTGTCTGTACTTGCTCTTAGCATATTTCCACGATCAGATACAGCATCTGTTTTTGCTGAGTTGAGAGAATTGGTTGTGCTATAGCCAGCTGAGTTAAAAGTACGTGTAATACTTGAGGCAATATCTAGTGTTGTATCATGAAAACTGTTATCTTGGTAATGTGATACTTCCTGAAAAACATAAAGAAATGTTTAGCTTGAAAATTCTGCAACACTTGATCAAAGGTAAGGAACAGTAGAATCTGGGGCAGTCCAGCTGATACAAGAAAGGTCAAGTGGATAAACTACTAAGTACTACTTTATTAGAGGCTAACTACTATGCGGAATAAATAAGAACCAAATAGCCCCCCACCCCCCACCCCTTGTTTTGTTTGTTTGTCAAAGGTACCATAGATCACATACACGCTTATCCTTGTGACTTTGTAAACATATAATGACATATGTGTGCATCGATCAAAATACCATATTTCCTAAAGCAAACCTCACACATAGAAACCAATGTATTAATGAAATTTGAACCAATCTCAAATACCGAAAGCAAACCTCACACAGAGAAAATATAAGTATTGATTTAACTGTAAAGTAAACAATGTGGCAAACTATTAGGAACATCAACTCACATCTGAGACTGATAACCTATCACTTGGACCATCAGCTGAATAACTTTTACGGCATGAAGTAATAAGTGTCTCAAGTGTTGAAAACCAGACCTCAACTTCTGCTTGATCCTTGCAAACCTGTAGATCAGCTAGAATCTCATGTAATTAAGGTCTTCCACGAATTGTAGTAAAAGATAGATCTAAACACATAACTTCTGCCACTAGTTTAGTGAAAGTTGTCTAAATCATATATACTTTACCAAGTCAAGGGAACGTTGGCCGTTCTTGTATATCAAAGAAAATGATAGGTAGTCCTTCTCAGGGCGTAAAAACCTCCTAAATACAGCCTGCCAAGAAAACAA